ATACGAGACTCATATTTTTCAAAATAGGTTTTCCATGAGGAGGTGTGTAACGAACTGCATATTTTCAATATCAGCTAGATGTCGAGTAGAAGGTTAGTATCTGAGTTATAGGCCATTATGAGACCCCTGTATCTTGGGTGATAGCTGATTCCACTGGAATATTAGCTCGAAATGGAAATATATACGATAAGTCAGGCATTGAGATAGAAACCATTCCTTAGGAATTGAGTCTTAAAGAACATTTCATTACAATTGTGATGGCTTGCTCCAATCATTGAATAGCTCAAAAAAACACGATTGGTATGCCAAAATATTGTGAACACAACGTGTGAGTGTGTTTGAATGTTTCACAGAAAAGTGAGGTTGTGTTTCGATGTATTGCCTTCAGGGTTGGTCACCGTGCACACGGATACAATCTACAAAACCTTCACGGCGATTGGATACTGAAACATAAACGATTTCCGAGCAGAACGATAGCTCAGTTGACTTCGAATATGACCACCACGATGGTGACTTAGGTTCAACTCTTGCGAGGCTCTACTTTTCCGGAACAATTTGCGAGAAAAATACATCTAAAAAAAAAAGGTTTGTTTTGACGAGTACCTGATGAGGTTCGTCTGAAAATTGTAGTCTTCATTCTCATGCAGAAACGGTGTTTTTCTTCTTCATGTTCCACGGCGGTCTGTCATATAAAAATAGGTCACCGCCGGCGGTCGGTTATGTATCAGTATCCAACCGTTGCGGCGTTTGTGATGACGGAGACGTGCGCGCAACCTATTCTCTTCGAATTATTTTGTAGGTTAGCAGGTATAGGTTGATCTAATTTTCGGAATCATGTGATCTCACCGAATAGAAAAATCACGAGTTCGTAGAGAAAGTATAGAATTTAACGCGTTTATAAACCATTCTAGACACTTGTTCATCAAATACACACTCTGCTCTGCTGCGCTCGTGCTTGAACTACTCAATACTAAAATGACGTTCATTACACTTGTTATATCAAATTTATTCAGAATAGAATAGAATAGAATATTCATTCAACCAATAGATCATTACAAAATGACATAGGTCGTGTCAAAAATACAAAAATACAAAATTTCAACAAATACCACGATACAGAATAAATAGATATAAAAATAAAAGTATAACTACTAACACACATAAAGAGGTTATATAAATATACATACATAAGGAAATAACATCATACAATAATCATATGTATAAAATCAGTGGTTCACGTGTATAGTTTCACTATGATCGAGATATTCTTCTACTGAATAGAATCCTTCGGTACACAAGAAGTATTTTACTTTCCGTTTGAAGGAGTTCAAGCCAGAAATTGTCTTCAACTCGACGGGCAGGCAATTGAAGAGGTTAGATCCTAAATGAATTGGCGATCTTTCGTATAGTTCGGTATTGTGTTGCCTTAATCTGAGTTAATTTCCGTAGGATATTTATGTGATTGAGCATTTGTTTCTAACAGATATTCATTTTTCTTTATGTAAGAGAACAGGCTGTGAATGTAAATACTAGGAACAGTAAGAATTTTATAATTTTTGAAATATGGTCTACAAGACTCTGTTCTCTTCAAATTGAATATGAGGCGAATTATTCGTTTTTTGGCAATGAACACTCTTGAGATATCACTACAACCACCCCATAACACTATATTATACATCAATACTGAATGTACCATTGCATAATATACATCCAACAGTGCCTTCTCATCTAGAACATTCTCAAGCTGGAGAATAACGTAAAAACTTTTATTAGGTCTTTTACAATTGTTTATCCCATTTCAATGCATGATCTATATGTATACCGAGGAATTTAGTATCTCCTGAGGGTTTTAAGACTTCATCATTTACAATAACATTGATTGATCTCTCAACTACCTTTCTCCCAAAGAAAGGAATCAATACTGTTTTATCAGCATTGACAATGAGTTTATTCTGTTCACACCACGTGGTAAATCTTTTGGAAACCGTGTTGAGTTTGATTTGTAGCTCCTCAATGCTATTGGCTTCTTCGGCAATGGATGTGTCATCTGCGAATAGTGTCATACATTCTGTTTTCACATGAAAAGGCAAGTCATTCTTGAATAGCAAAAATATCAATGGGCCCAAAACCGAGCCTTGTGGGACTCCAAGGTTGACATTGTACATATCTGAGCTTGATTCTGGCATGCTAACAGAATTTCTCCTCTTAGGCCTTTCGCATACAATTTGTCATGTACAATAGTGAAATCGATCGAGTCGAATGCTTTAGACAGATCAAAGAACAGCGCCGCAACATACTTTCCAGAGTCCATGCGACTATAGACATACTCCATGAAGGCCGTCGCCGCGCTCTCCGTTGATCTACCTGGGTAAAAACCGTTTTGGCAATCAGTTATTATTTTATATCTCGAGAGAAATGTGAGTAGTTTATTGTAAATGCATTTCTCTATCACTTTACTTATCACACAGGGTATAGTAATGGGTCTATAATTTGATATAGATAAGTGGTCTTTGTTTTTGAGGATTGGTATTACCTTGCCTATCTCAAGATTGTCTGGAAAAATATGTGATTCTACTGAGAGATTTATAATGAAAGAGATTGGTTCGCAAATGAAGTTTGCTATCGATTTTACTATTTTCGTAGACAGGCAGTCAATGCCTAATGATGTTTTATTGCTCAATTGACTGATAGATCTAAGGTCTTCTTGTGGACAAACAGGATAGAAATAAAAGGAATTTATTGTATGAACACCAGTCGTTCCATTTTCATGGGTGAAATATAGTTTTATATTTTCAGACACTGTGGTTGTGAAGCAGTTCGAAATTTCTGAAGAATCTTTTATCGCTTCGTCATCTATAACGATTTTATTCGGGTAATGATTAGGTGTAGATTCTCCCGTTTTCTCATTAACAATTTTCCACACTTGCTTTTGTTTTTCCTGATAGTTGATAGTGTTTTTTATTCTATTTTGATAGTGACTTCGTTTTGTAAATTTTATTTCTTTTTTATGTTTTTTGACCCTTTCATGATATTTGCTCCTCATCAGGGGATCGCTCGAGTTTCTAACAAGCCAATACATATCTCTCAGTTGCCTACCCGCAGTTTTTATCTCAATAGTAATCCAAGACTTCCTAGAATTATTTGAATCAAGTTTAGTTTTTCTCTTGGGACAATTTAAGTCCAGGGCATGGACAATTATTCGAAAGAAACTATTATATGCAATATTCACATCTGACATACATTCATATACGGCTTGGAAATCTTCATTTTCAAGAAATTGATGAAGTTGATAGATATTTTCCTCACAGCTATCATGTTTCGTAATAAAAGTTTTTCCGTTTGACTTTTCAACTTGGGAAGTTGGAAAGTTTTGCCGTTTGACTTTTCAACTTGGGAAGTTGAGGATTTGTTGATATATAGTGTGAATATTAATCCATGATGGTCACTAATATCAAATGGTTTGACTTTTTCTTCAAAAGAAGATTAATCAATATTTGTGGCGAAATAGTCAAGTTGAGATATACTAGTCATGCCATTGCTATCAGTAAACTCTCGAGTTGGCAAGCACTTTTTGTATTTGAGTTGATAGCTATCTAGAAAGTCCATGAAGAGTTTATTATCTTCATCTTTTTGTGATATTCGCTTCAAATTAATATTATCATTCATATCACCACAAATAATGATATTTCTATATGATTTTGATAATTCATTCAATATATGAGACATTCGGTATATAAAACATTCAACATTTCCACTTGGAGATCTATAAATATCAATTACAATACTTTTCATCTGCTATTTCGAAACAAATTGCACACATTTCTATTTGCATTTCCTCACAATTTATTTCAACGTCAATTGTTTTGTACACTACATGTTTCCTTATATATATAGCTATTCCACCATGTTTCACTTAAACATAAAATGTCTACATTGATATCCTCCACTATAACTTCTAGTTGATCAATTTTATTCGCTAATGATTGGATATTGATGTGTAGTATATTGAACTGGTTTATTATGTAAGAATTTGTAATTTCATTTCCATTCGAGTTTTTAGAACCCACTTGAGTCACGAAAGGGCTTACGGAATGAAAATCTTTTCTCAACTACGTGTTTTGTAACATCGAAATCATATCCTGGTGATTTATTTTTCAGATGTGATTTAACTTTATCAGCTGTTGCCTGTGATTTACAATGACCTACATACAACCATAACATAGGCTCTCCTCCTCTGAAATCGTTCTCGTCTCCATCCGTGGAACACGTTCCTACAATCAAATCGTTTGTCTTTTTCTTCTGCTCTGGCTGTCGTGGATGAAATTTTCTATCAGTATAATCATTTTTCAATGAATGCTTTTTTGGCTGTCTCTTTTTATAGATCACCTCTGTGAATGGTATCTCATCGTCAGTTTTTGTTTCCGTCTTAGTCGCTTCCACTATCGTATCAGCCGACGAACATGATAAAAATGACGTGTCCATATTATTATTTTCATTACTCACTGTATTAAAAATTTGATTACTTTGACTCTGAATACCCTTATTCGTGGTTAGCAGATTGATCAGATCAATAGTGCTGGATTTGCACTTCCTCTCTGAGATTCGTAATTTCGTCAGTAAGAGTTTTTGTGAGTTTATCTATTTCTTGTGCAAAGATTTGCCTCATTTCTCTCATGAAAAAGCTCTTCATAGCTTCACCATCCATTGCACAATATCTTAGGTCGCTACCACCAACCATTTTCTTCAAAGGGATAGTAAATTTTTATTCGATTTATACATTGAAGCAGAACGACAGCGAAACACGTCTTACTTGCGCGACTGCCACAGTTATGATTGAATTGATATGCATCATATGCGCTGAATGCTCATTCACACATAATGAACTCATAAAAAAATTGATATGTTTATTTTAACGCTGATATTTTCTCCACAGGGAAATATTCTTCAATCACGATACAAATGACACTTATAAGGAAGGACAATACTTCAAGAGACCTCGTATGGCCAGAACTCTACAGATTATTGCGAATGAAGGAGGAGATGCGTTACATAATGGATCACTCACCAAAGATTTCATCAATGATATCAAGCAACATGGAGGCATAATGACTGAAGAAGATATGCAAAACTATCAGTGAGTATTCAGAAACTTCTCATTTCTTAAAATTCCTGGTATTTCACTGATTTTGATCACTTGGTTACATTTCCAGACCTAAATGGCAAAAACCAGTGCAAGCGAAGTTGTATCAAAACCACACACTATATGCATCACCACTTCCAGGTAGTGGAATGATACTGGCTTTCATTTTGAACATCCTCAGTGATTTTCTAGACCTGAAAAATCCAAACTCAATAACAACCAATCAGAGAATTGTTGAGAGCTTCAAATTTGGTTATGCAATAAGAACAGAATTTGGTGATCCAGATTACACAGATTTCACAGGAGTGAGTGCATGTTTTGAAAACCCAATTGAATATCAGCTAAGTATATTTTTGCAGCTCCTAGAGAATCTCACATCTGTAGACTATATAGATTCCATCAGATCCCGCATATTCGATAATCAGACATTCCAGGATCCTTCTCATTACGGAGCAAAAAATGACCTTACTGAGGATCATGGCACCTCACACATATCAGTACTGTCCCCAGAAGGGGATGCCGTTTCTGTAACGAGTACGATCAATTTCATGTGAGTAATTCTATATAGATATCCTCAAAATGTTTATTGATTATTGCACACTATCGACATGATCTAGTCCATATTCCAGGAATATTGAAATAAAAAAAAAATTGAACTTTCCGCTATCTGAAACTATTTATAGATATTCAGGTGTTCATTAGCGATACATAACAACTGGAGAAACTTCTCCAAAGCAACTTCCGAAGAGATCAAATTTGGGGATTCATATTTCCCTACGCGATATTTCGTAACTGTAGAACCATCATCAGCTTCGTATATTATCGAAATATCCTTTCGTATGCGCCCCAAGATTCAATGCATTCACACTCATTCAACGAAAAAGGAACAAAGGATACAAAAGATCGATCAATCATTTCCGAAGTGAGTTGATACCTGAATTTCCCACAATCTCCTCTTCATCTGATTTAGTATTCGACCACTGCCTCTTCGTAGTTTCCTTTCTGCTTTTATAATTCCCACTTCATTTGAGAATCCTCATCAATTCCTCAATGGGAATAAATACCCTTAGATGAATTATGAACATGAAAAGAATGGATATATATTCATAGAGGAATATTTTGAGAAGTCGCATTCTCTATCTGATGAGAATATCAATTCTTCATCAGTATATTCTACAGAATATACTACTTTCTCAGCTTGATGCCACGACGACCGACGAATAAAATCTATCGATATAAATGATAAGGATTTGGAAACAGAAGGATCTGAAGTTAAGAATCTGCATTCCTCTTTAGATAAAAATATACAATGTACATGATATCATTCTGAATAATCGAAAGCTCACCACTACTTGTTTGACTATTATCCACGTCGTCCTCAACCCTTACTTACAAAATCCATGTGTACTCATCTATTCGAGTAAGTTTGTGAAAATGAAGCGTAACTTTTTCGACGGCATAATCCGCAGAACGGGTGTACTGAAATCTAGAATAACCCTTTCAAAGAACCATTCAGATAACTTGCTAGCATTGCACCAAGGTCCCTGAGGGGTTTGAATAAACAACACTAGCTGAGAAACCTCTTCCTTTTGCCGCGCTGTCTTGCTGATCTCTCGTGATGATATAATGTGACTCTTATACTGAGAATCTCGATTGATCCCAGTGTTGAGTATTATATGGTGATTCTCGTGTTGATTATGTTAGTTTGTATATTAGATACTGGGTGTAACAGGATCATGGTACACCCCCCGTATATTCGTTAGTTTCAGAGGTAATTGATTGTGATTTAGGATATCTCATATACATAATAAGAGGCAATTTTTGACCTGCAAATGAGTTTTTTTTTTTTCACTTCCGGTGGGTGACGCCACACTCACTCACTCTTTGACATCATTGAAACACCGTAGAGAGGTCGGCGACCTTTCACTTTTCTATCGATACTTCCACGGGAAATGTTCTTCGGAAATCTCTGCCATCATCTCTTCACTAGCAATACCAATCAGACGAACTAGACAAGCCCAGTCAGCACATCCTTTCGTTGTCAACCTCGAAAGATGTCGAACAGCACTTTATCAAGACTCCTTTATCCATAGAACGGCTAGGCTCTGGAATTCATTGCCTGTGGAAGTATTCCCAACAACATATAATCTCCAAAAGTTAAAAAAAAATTTTAATACCTACCTCCTGTCTCTATCCTCCCTAGGAATGCACGATAGTCTTTGAACATTATAGGGATTCTCTTTCGTGCGCTCCAAGCGATGAAAAAAATATTATTACATTTTTAAGATCTGCATAATTTTCTAAATCCCATGATACTTCATAGGTGACATTTCAAACGTAAAATTTTTTTAAATTTTGATTTTCATTTTTCCATTTAAGTGTGCCATGATGGTTCCGATTTATTCGAATTGACCCGTCAAATGCTAAAAGAATGGAATTCTCTTCAAAAATACTAAATTGCCTTTTTTATGAGCAAATGAAGTTTATCGTGATCGATTTTGGGGTGAAACTCAATTTTTTCAAATGGAACCATATTGTTACCGTGGCACTATTTATTAGTACTATTATTAAGCATTTCATTCATACCTACTGATAAAATGTGCGATGAATACAATCAAAATCAAAGCTGAAAGAAAATATGAAGATACAAATATTTTGTTCTAATTTAATGCTAAGAAATTACTAAGGTGGCTTTGAAATCAATGAAATTATTCCTTCAGATTGTCAAATAATTGTTTGTTGGTTAATCGGTATTTTCATTGTGTATTGGAAAAGTCTTAACATTTATTGTTATTTACGTCCAAACTGCCGCATATTCATACAAGGGATGAAAAAGTGGACATCTCTATCATTTATGGGGAATGTAGAAAAAATGCCGTTGCGGCTAGAAACCTTTATGTCGACCGATATCCTGATGGACAATGTCCAGCGAGGAATTATTTTAATCGTCTTGAAAATCAATCCCGAAGAGAGCCTAACCATGATCCCGAAGAAAACTTTATCATTGACGAAGGAACGGAAATAAATGTTTTAGCTAGAATAGAAGTTGATAAGACCGTTTCTTTAAGGCAAAATGGGTTTGAATTGGAAATAAGTCACCAAACGGTAGGCCGAATCTTGCACAAACATAATTATAAATCTTTCGAATATCAATTGCACCAGCACCTGTACGAAAATGATTATGAACGTAGGATGGAATATTGCAATTGGATCTTGCAGAATAATGTGCAGCCAAACAATGATTTTTTAGGAAGGATTTTATTTTCGGACGAGTCTGGCTTAACAAATATGTGATCATTCAACCGACAAAATACAAGGTATTGATCACAAGATAATCAAAATTAATTGCGTGATGGTAACTTACAAGTGCGTTTCGGTTTCAATGTTTGGCTCGGAATATTCGGTCGTAGAATCATTGGTCCAATAATATTTGAAAGACCCTTGACTGGAGCTAGATACTTAGAATTTCTGCAGAATGACATTGAGGACAGGTTAACTGAATTACTTGTCCATTTACGACAGAGAATGTATTTCCAACAAGATGGAGCTCCTCCCCATAATTCAAGAATAGTAATTGATTACCTTCAACAGGCATTCGGAGAAAACGTGATTTCGACGAATGGTCCTGTGCGATGGCCTCCAAGGTCACCTGATTTGACACCTCTTGATTCCTTTGTTTGGGACCATTTGAAAAACATTGTCTATGCAAGCGCCGTTTCAACTCGCGAGGACCTGGAGTTGCGAGTAAGACGCGCAATCAATAGTATAACGGCCCAGCAATTAGCGAACGTTCTTCAAGAAACAGGTATGCGAGTTCAGGAGTGCATTGACGTTCATGGACAGCATTTCGAACAATTGTTGAAATGTTTCGTTTTTTTTTGTATTTCAAAGCCACCTTAGTAACCTCTTAGGATTAAATTTGAACAAACTATTTTTTGTATTTTTTCCTTCTCTTTTAGCTGTGATTTTGATTGTATTCATCGCACATTTTATTAGCAGATATGAATGAATTGCTTATTAATAGTACTGATGAATGGTACCACGGTACCAATATGGTTTTGATTGAAAAAATTGAGTTTTAACCCAAAATCTCTTTCGATGAACTTTATTTGCTCATAAAAAACGCAATTTAGTATTTTCGACGAGATTTCGATTTTTCTAGCATCAGACGGGTCAATTGGAATAAATCGGAATCATCATGGCACACTCAAATGGAAAACTGAAAATTGAAATATTCAAAATTTTTACGATTGAAATGTAACTCATGTGATATCATCGATTCAGACAATTATGCAGATTTCAGAAATGTAATGATATACTGGGTGTTCCATTAAGAAATAGGAAGTTGGTATCACTTCCGGCCAAACCGCGAGTGAAAAAAACCCATTTGTAGGTCAAAAAGTGCCTCTTATCATGTATATGGGATATCCCAAATTTCAATCAATTACCTCTGAAACTAACGGAGATATGGGGGGTGTACCATGATCCTGTTACACCCGGTATATATGCATCACCATTACACCCTATTTTGTAACGGGCTTTGTTTCTGAGGCCCTTACTTTGGCGCTCTGTTCAGGGCGGAGACTACTCTGGTATTTGACAAGGGGGTTTTCGAGCGCCAGATTGTTTTTGAGGTAGTTAACTCTAACTGATCTGCACAAAATGTTTATGTACAGAGGCCCAAAGTGTTTACTCTACCTGCTCTGCAAGAAATGTTTTTTGTACAGAGGGCCAAAAAAGCAACAGTGGAGAAAGGTACAGGAGGTATACCTACCTCGGTACCTACAGTATAAACCATGGGTCAATGTTATTGAATCGACCTGAAATCAATAAGGAGTCGAGGAAATGTAGGCTTTAATTACAAACCCTGTGTTCAGCCTGGAATACTGTTTGCTATTTTTATACTGGATAATTACAGGAATCAAAACCAATATCTTTCTCGACTCTGGTATTTTTAGGTTAGGCCTGGAAAATTTTCTATTCAAACTATTTTATGAAGTCTACCTGGATAAACGGAAACATAGTTCCAAACGAATTAAACAGATCCGATTCTTATTTATCCTTCGTTTTCCTTAGATTTTCAAATTTTTCATGTCAGGATTCTGGTGAGGTTATAATTATATTCTTTTATGCACCAGCGGGCCGTAAAGTGCACTTTACCGCCCGGTTTTGCGGGCGTTAAGTTGCACTTTACCGCCCGCGGGCTCATTATGGCCCACGGGCCGTAAAGTACACTTTACTATACTTATGAGTCAGAAAATAAACCACTAGTGCATAAAATTTTGTATGTATCTCGTGCGTGAAATGCGTTTATGGCCTTAAGCGTGTAATGGCCCTCGGCTAGCGCCATCGGGCCCTTATTCACGCCACAGGCCATAAACGCCTACTTTACGCCCTTGATACATAAATAACTATTATCCATGTCAACATTTTATTCACCACCGGCCACAGCCTGACAGGATACTAGGGACACGAATGCACAGGACAGGATTTCCCAAGCAAAAGAAGAGGAAGAAGAATTGACGACTGGCTTGTCAGTGTCAGTCGTCTGTCA